CAGGATTTGGGCTATCTATTTTAGAATTGCTATAAACGGCAACGAAAAAAGAAGCAGCAGCCTATTTGGTATATATTTATTGCCTGAAACTAGTCTCACTGATTAATTAATTAATTATTCCAGGATACGAGAGATTTATAAAAGATAAGAGAGACTTCTTCCTTGCATAACATCGATTAATTAGATAACACCTATCCAATTAACATAAGTGTCCCTCCTTTCTTAAGAGATTTTAAAAACATCATCTTTTACCCTTAGTTACCTGAGATGATAAATGGCCAACAAGGTGGAAAAAGTGGTAAACCTACCTGTCAATTTTATATTCCTTGCACATATAGGTCTTTAGAAATGGTATAAATATAGCTTTAAACCATTCATTTTCACGTATACTTTGGCAGTCTTGAAAAAAATTCTATAAATTTTTTATTGGTGTTTTATATAATAATTTAAATTATTAGATAAAATAGTTCTTTAATATGATATCATAATATTATTTACCAAATAATTATGTGTTCCAATCTTACTATTCTTATTCTATTTAATTAGAATTAAATATAAGGAGATATATATAAGTTTATGTTAATTTTAAATTTAAAAGATTTTTACTTAAATAAATATTTAAAAAAATTGTATAAATTATATAATACACGGTATCCTTATCATAATTTACTTGTTGAAAAGTTCAGATTTTATGACCCAGATACTAAAACTTTATTTTTAATGAGACAAAGTCATGTTACTAATCTCTGTAGAAACATCATATATTTTCTCTATTCAAAATCTTGGTCTCTTAACATTGAAACACAATAGTTTTGAAAGCAAACAAAGTCAAAAAGTCAGGAAAACGCTTGTGTCAGTAGCATCAAATTGCGGCCTAATGATCCCACAGGCAAAGTAGCTGAACAGATCACTGATCCTTAACCCTAGGCTTGCATGCCTGCCACGTCGGATTACAAACGTCTGCTTGCATGCCACGTAGGAACAATTGTTTCCATCATTTTTTTGTCTTGATGGCATGAACTCGCTTTGAAGAGTTTGCAACTTTGCATATATAGCAGACACCAAATCTGTGATTTATTGTGTGTTACCAATTGGATGCTTGTGAAGCAGGCATATCTCGTATATGAGGGCATTGGGTGGTTCAAGGTAGACCTGGGTTGATACTGCTGAGATACGAAGGAAAATCTCACAGGATTCTGAATCATAACGGCATAATATAAAACATCAGTTTTCCTCAAAAACATCATAATCCAATTTCACAGCTGCTAAAAAAAAAAAAACAATTCGCCCGAAGCATTAAATTTCATGCTCATGAACAAACAAGAAATTCTATTTTCAAAACATTAAAATAATCTAATTCCTAGTAATTGTTAGCACACTGCAAAGAGTTTGCGTTAAAATCTCACCCTAATCTACATTCGAATTAAAGGTATGCGCTCCCATGATGTTCTCCTACACGCAGAGAAATACTGAAATATTAAAAAAGAAAAAATTGATAAGACATTCTGCCTGTGCCTACCATTGAATTTAAAGAAGAGATTAATATACCCTTTTGTTATCCGAATATCGAATTTTGCTTATACTCGAGATAAGTATACACGTGGCATATGCATATGTAGCTATTATACATTTCTCAGTGGGCTGGAATTGAATATTTTTATGCTAGCTTACTAGGCATGTTATAATTAGCACTACTAATTAATTGAGGGAGCAAATTAATATATTACTCTGTATAGGTTCATTTGCTAATAATGTTCAAATCATGACAGACCAACTCTGACTAAATTCTACAGGTAGAATTATCAAGAATGAAAATTTTTTTGGATCCAATAAATTTTGGGTTATATATATAGTGAAAGGTAGCGCCTCTCCTATTACATTATTATAACTAAAAAATAAATAATTAATAATGCTCAGATTTTGTATATATTATAGGAAAAAACTACAAGATATATTAAATTAAAATTGTATGTGTTCATAAATTATTAATGATTAAGAAGTGCTTGGATGATAACATGTATACTCATCTTTAGTTAAAATCACTCATAAAATATTTGTAGTAATAAGCAATGGCACTGAATATATTGTTATATCTCCATTCCACTAGCTATGGTGTTTCAAAAGAGTTTTTGAACACCACACTACTTGCAAATATATATACATATATAAATATATTCACCCTCAGCTCACATTAGATAAATAATTTAAAAAGTTGAAAACCTTGACATCAAAATAAATCAGATTAATTATTTTAATTATTTTAATTGAACATCCTTCACATCCACTTTCAATCAAACTTAATAAATGATTAAAAAAATTAAATTAATAAATTACTTGACACTAACAAGCATACAACTTAGCGAGCAGGTGCATGAACCCAACCCCCAAAATTTCCTATATATAGATCACCCACTTCCTTCTCCATTCATCGCTCCTCACTCACTCGCAATCAAGCACAAAGCGAGGAGATCATCCAAGCAGCAATAGCAATCTGCTCTCCTCCAAAAAACAAAAACTTCACAAAAATGCCTTCTGCTACTTCTCGAACAATTGTCTCAAAATGCACCGTTTTCCCAGACCAAAAATCTACTCTACAAGATCTCAAGCTCTCCGTCTCTGACCTCCCTATGCTTTCGTGCCACTACATCCAAAAGGGTGGCCTTTTCACTAGCCCTCCAGCACTCTCCATCGATTCCTTAATCTCCCACCTCAAACAATCTCTCTCTCAAACTCTCTCTCACTTCCCTCCTCTGGCAGGTCGCTTCAACACGGACTTCAATGGCCACATCTACATTACCTGCAACGATGCAGGCGTAGATTTCATCCATGCCACCGCAACCGATATTTCCATCCAAGATATTCTCTATCCACTTCATGTACCTGATTGCATCAGGGGCTTTTTTGCTTTCGAGAGCACTGTTAGCTACCAAGGCCATTATAAACCAATCTTGGCTGTTCAGGTCACAGAGTTAGCTGATGGGGTTTTCATTGGTTGTTCAATGAATCATTCTGTTACTGATGGTACGTCATTTTGGAACTTCTTTAATACCTTCGCTGAAGTTTCGAGAGGAATCAAGAAAATATCAAGAAAGCCTGATTTCTCAAGAAACTCAATCTTGATTTCCGAAGCTGTACTTAAAGTTCCTCAAGGTGGCCCCCGAGTCACTTTTAATGAAAACGAGCCATTAAGTGAAAGGATTTTCAGTTTTAGCAGAGAAGCGATTTTGAAGCTGAAATCCAAAGTCAACAACAAGAAATGGAGTCAAAATTCAGATAACACTAATGTTGACGTTGTTGAATTAATGGGAAAACAAAGCAATGATACACTGTTTCAGATTCACAACAGCGGTAAGATGACTACAATTCTTGAAAACTGGTTCAAGAACGCAGTTTTCAAACCGCAAGAGACGGTGTCCAACCTTCAAACGGGGGAGATTTCGTCGTTTCAATCACTGTGTGCCCTTCTATGGCGTGCGGTGACACGTGCAAGGAAGTTGAATCCGTCGAAAACGACCACGTTTAGAATGGCTGTTAATTGCCGTCACCGTTTGAACCCCCAACTCGATCCGTTGTATTTTGGGAACGCAATTCAAAGCATACCCACATACGCGTCAGCTGAGGACGTGTTGTCTAGGGATCTACGCTGGTGTGCGGAGCAGCTGAATAAAAATGTCGCTGCCCACAACGACGGAACGGTACGTCGTTTCGTTCAGGACTGGGAAAGTAATCCGAGGTGTTTCCCGTTAGGGAACTTGGACGGTGCATCAATGACCATGGGTAGTTCACCAAGATTCCCAATGTACGATAATGATTTTGGGTGGGGTCGACCTTTGGCAGTGAGGAGTGGTAAGGCCAATAAGTTTGATGGTAAAATCTCTGCTTTTCCTGGGAAGGAAGGTAATGGAACCGTTGATCTTGAGGTTGTGTTGGCTCCTGAAACAATGGCTGGGATTGAGTCTGATCACGAGTTCATGCAGTTTGTGTCTAGTTAGTTATGTTTCAACGGTGGCGATTATCTGATTCCGTTGTCTGTTTCTTGATTTCGACCATTGTAATGTTGGTGGGGACATGGGCTTTTGAGGGGATCATGAGATGGGGGTTAAGAAGGTGGCCTATCTTTTGTAACTCTGTGACATACTTTTTTATCTGGTTTAATCCTATGTTATGTTAAGTTTTATTGAACATCTGAGAAAGGACAACCTTCAATACTTGTTTTATTAGGAAGTTAAGAGCATACGTTTTCTAATTAAATTGCCAAAAAACTGAAATAAATAATAATAAAAAAGAACGGAAAGATCTAGCAGCAACCCAGCACATTGGTCAGAAAATAAAAAAGAAGTTGGTCAGTTTATCTGCTACTAGAAGTTAGTGATTAAATCAGTGCATCGGATGTAAAATTAACTAATCGAGTGTGAAAAATAAAAGACGGATTGCCTTCAATGAATTGACTTTCTAATCGAGTGTGAAAAATAAAAGACGGATGGATTGCCTTCAATGAATTGACTTCGCAAAGGCACATTTCCAGTAGAGAAAAATTTAGGTTTTCGACAGTTTTCTCAACACTGTACTCGATACATTTAAAAAGCAACAATTTATGATTTTCAAAGCTATGATCTCTCAAACTCAACTCCAAATAGATCCTCGCTAGAAGCATATTATTGGCAACTGCCATTTATATGTTATGATATGTGGTTTTGTTCATCACAAAAAAAACAAAAAAACTTTCCGATAAGTGAAGAGCTTTGGCGATGTGAAGAAATTATCAAGATTTATACAGTCGAGCAACGCTTTCTCTTGAACATCAAATTCCGAGCTTGGACGCATAATATGAAATCAAATGGTTAAAAAGTTAAAAAAGAAACTAAACCTACCTTTCGTGATCGTGCTGATGTTATTCATCTTGGATGGATGATTGTAAGAATGTTATTTGTCCTCGAATAATTTTTACTGTCCGTTAATAGGCCTCTTGGATCTAGGCCCATTAGTGTGGGTTTGGGTGCAATTCCCGCACACCTTGCCTTTTTAAATTTCCTTCCAGATCCGCTGAATCGAACCCTAACCCTAGCTCCAACCTATAATTACTTCAATTGAGATGTGCGATGTTTAATTAATGGAACTTCGAAGGCAAGAGCCCCATACTCCCATAGTCAGCGTAATGGAACTTCGAAGGCAAGAGCCCCATAGTCAGCCGGGAAATTGGAATGTGATGTCCTGGCCGTTGCCAGTTGCCGGTTGCCACTAGCTTCTTTTGAAGGTAAATTTCCATCTTCTACAACTTCATTTGCAAATTCTTGAAAACACTTTCCTTTTTGCTGTGATTTCTTGAGTTTTTCTTGGGTTTAGTGTTTACTGTTCAGGCTGTGCTTAATTCCATAGTAAAGTATATCCTGAAGGCTTAAATAATCTAATATTAGGCACCGGCTTTTGTTGTTGAAAGAGATTTTTTCTGGTTTTTGGCATGGAGGGGGTTTTGCTTGCAACGCATGCTTAATGATGACTTGTTAGTGATGCAGTAACTGTTAAAGAAATGAGGAGAGGTTACTTTGTGAAGAACTTAATAGCTTTTGTAGGAGTGGTGATTTCTATCTGTTGCCTTTTGGTGATTATGGTATCAGTTCTCCAGCTTCCAGAGGTATCACTCAGAAATAATGTAACAGGCCCTAACAGAACCATTAGGATCAGGAAGGTTTACAAGGATGAAGAAATTGGGAGATTTGGTGAGATGATGCTTGAAATGTTGCCAGAAGATCTTGCTTTTACAGTCTTTGTCCCGTCGGAGAAAGCTTTCCATCGTGATCTAAGGCTACTGCTGAATGATAGTTTGGTAGCAGAGAAGAGGAATGATACATATGCTATAATTTCCCGCATACTGGGCTTCTCAGCTGTTCCTCAAACTCTTTCTTCAACTACAGTATCCTCTAGTAAAGAGGTCTTCTATGATTCCTTATCTGGGTTTACATTGTACATTTCAAAGGATTTAGATGGAATGCTGGTAGTTAATAGAATTCGATCAGAAAAGGTAGACCTCAGGAGAGGGCAGATTGTTGTACATATTATGGATGGGGTGATCATGGATGCGGAGTTTGAACAGGCAGTTCAGCCTGATTACACAGAAGAAGATTGATTAGAAACAAGGCATGTATCTTTCAAAAGACCGAGTTTTTGTTGTATCGCCAGGTTTTAACTTGTAAGGTGTAAATTGAACAAGATATATCTTTGTTTGGGGGATAACGCAGTTTTATCTATTTAAAGCCATGTCAAAAATCTGACTCTTTCATAATTCTTAGATCTATCAGCTTCGTGTCTTTGTTCGCCATACAAAGAGATCAAGCATCAGCTTCGTGTCTTTGTTCGCCATACAAAGAGATCAAGCATCGGTGCCGCCATCAATATGGTGCAACGTCCGTGCATTTTTAACCAGCAGAACGCCCTGGCTTCCAGGACCAGTAGTGCTAGCATACTAGAATGAACGCAAACCATTATTCCTATAGTTCCGTACAGTGGTATGCAGCATTGGTCAATTTTAAATTTGGCATTTGATGGCATAATGCCAACCCCTTGTAAAATTGCAATGCAAATCAGAGTACAAGATCGTCTAGGAACACGGCTAAAGAATCTAACGCCAAAGAATGACCATATGTTTATCACCAAGTTAGAATCTTGCAAATACCGTAGAGGACGCCAAAATGAATTTATTTAGTATTTCAATCACAAGAAAAACAACTTTGAGCAATGTTTTCCAGTAGAACCCCTAACAACTCCCCCATCTCTTGCACCAGAAACAAAAGATTATCTAAGGCTGATGAAATTCAGGCTGCAATTAATCTTATAGAGAACAGACAACCAAATAAAATCCAGGCTGATGAAATTCCCATGTCTAGCTTACGACAGCAGGAGGTACAGAAACGAGCTTTGAGTCTTCTGCTTTCTCATGTTCTTTGTTGAGCATCTAAGATTAGACCAACACGGAGAGTGAGAAAATTACTAATATAGGATGACAATTGAAAGTATTCAACATAAGTTACGATCCACGTGGAGTAACACATCTACATGCTGAATAAAACAGGCTAATGGAAATTGCTAGACAGCTATGTACATAGGGCAGAAACAAAGAAAAGAAGTGCATCAAGAATGGCCAGATGTTAAAGGCTCTAACACACATACATGAATAGGCTGAAGTGAACTTGGTTTAGTTTACCTAGAAAATGAATGGTAGAAGCAAATGGCAATAATGATTTTGGTATCTTTGCTGGTATGGATGGTTTTCAAAATCAACAACAGATACTTCGATGTGAAGTGATTTATGCCCCACACATTAACGTCAAAAGTTTCACAGGTTAAAAATGAGGTTCAAGTTGGTCACGAAGAAAGATATGCATGATATTCAGTAACTAAATAAGATTGTCCAAGTCATGAGAACAAATTTAAGATGCCCAAGTCATGATCGATTGTAAAGCTCCTAGGAATACTATCTGGATCTACTATCACTGATGTGAGCACATCCATTACAAGCATCATTTCCTTGAAAACATCATGTTACAAGTTCAAACAGACAAGGGCATCATAAATTACAAGTCCAGACAGCAATATTTGTATCTAATCTCAATTGGACCAAGATTTAGTGTTTTACACTAAAATGAGCAGCTTGTGTGAAGATTCAGAAAGGATAAAAAAAAGGTGATCTCACCTTGTTGTTGATCAAGTTGTGGAGAGCGACTACACTTCGGATGAGTGACGAAAGATAAATAACCAACATCATATCATTTGTTTTCACTGCACATAATGGAAATATGATAAAGCAGTGAATGGAAAATGAGAAACGAGACACAGAAATTTGCGCCTTTTCTTCATTTACCTGCAAAAGCCTTAATCAAGTCTGCCACGTTAAGGTTAGGAAGTAGGTTGAACACATCCTGGACAATGTAAAAAGGGAATTGATATAAGCTGGCATCACAGGAAGATTAGCAAACTGAGACAGTGCCCAAACATCAAAAAAATGGTGGGGGTGATGAAGGGAAGGGAACTAGTGAGATATATGTTCAACAGTCCAGAGCTTGTGAGGATTTGCTTTGAACACATGGGAGGATCAGGGGATTGTAGGTTTAAAACAATTTTGTTGAAAAACCTTTGACCATACCCCATGTCCATAATTTTAATTAGTGTGTTTGGTAATGCAAGTGCATTTGCAAAAGTGCGTTTGAACTCAAAAGGCATCAAATGGATGCTTTTTCATATGCTTTTTGATGTTTTAGACATCAGTATATCAAAAACCATTCAAAAGCACCTGAAAATATCAGAATTGATGCTTTTTCAGCCCAAGTACACTTTGAAAAGCACTTTTAAACACAAAGCAAACAAATTACCAAACACCATCTTAATATAGCATTGAGCATGAGCGGTGTGACCCATGCAGGTCCTTGCAAAACCATACAGAGGCAAATCATCACTCCATTTCAGCACCATCAGCACATTAGCAATGATTTGATATTCAAATTTAAGGAAAATAGGAAAGCCCATTTAAACCATTCTAAGGGTAATGAAAATTGAAGCCCGCCAGAATAAGCAAGTTAACACCAAAGAATTCCTACAGTCCACATTAATCAGCTTCTAAGAGAGCTCCTATCCAGAACAAACTATGTGAAACCTAATGAAATTTCAGAGAGATGATAATAGTTCAGGTAACTACATCTGAAATTAAGTTCAAGTTTATCACAATGATTGAAATGATGATTCAGTTACAGATTCAACTGATATCTTCATGCAGGACATGGCTCAATTAACAGAAAAAACATATTTAAGAGGGGCCAGACAAGGAAAATCTGGGAGATGCAAACTAAACCTGTAGATGGTACAGAATCTCATGGTTTAACGGGAGCTTTCCTTCAATGACGAGGTCAAGATAACCACGTATTTCTTTTAGTCGAGCATCCAACCCTTTCAGAGCTGTGAGTTTCCCAGTAACCTGAAAGTAGAAAATAAAAACTGAGTCCCTTCTACCGAAGTTAGAAAGTAAAAGGGTAAATCAAGCGCAGTCCAGCAACAAGACCTCAGTTGCAAGAGTACTAATTGTTGTGTCCTTCACATCCCTCAATAAGTGTTCTACACCTGTTAACACAAAAAAGAATTCAGAGTTCAAGACCAATTGTCATGTTATTCTGCCAGAAGTGTCCACTTTTATGCATACAATAGAAGCCAAGAATCAACTTCATTCTTTTCAGATCAAAGTTAGATTATAATAATGCTGGGAGAGGGAGAGGGAGAGGGAAAATCATAAAATAGCAGCTCCATCCGTTGAGTATTAGCTAAGGAAACTTCACTAAAAGCACCCAAAGCATAAATCAACTTTATTTTTAAACCAAAGAAAACTAGATTTCAGTGGCACACCAATTTCCTCGACTTCATGGGCAGCAATTTCTGATGGCACATGCACAAACACCTTCTGGCTTTTCTGGGTAGCATTCTGTAACCAACACACAACCATTATAAGTTCCTGGCATACGTGAATCCAGCATTACACCTATATAAACAACTTAATCAGAACAACTAACCAATTGATCATCAAGGTGTTAATAAGTTATGTACTTACCTCTTTCACCTCTTCGACAGCATAGTATGCTTTTGTGGGTATTCCCAACTCTACCAGTTGGACATCAATTATGACCATGACAGGATTTGGAGCATAACTGCGATGCCAGATTACACTGTGTGAATATAGGAGAAAGGGGGGAAAGTTTCACAAGTACTAATCCATCAAACTAGTCAATTTCCATCAGTGATCAGTTCACAGAGTTTGAAAGTTAGGCAGAACTACTTAATCATGATCACCACACAGGTTGAAAAGATAATTAACCTTCAAAATCATGGATGGTGTTCTTACTCGTTAAATAATCCGTGAATCTCCAGGTCATTTTCCCTTAGTTTTGGCCCTGTGCTGTACCAACCCACAACATGCTCCTTGGCTGAAAAAGGTAATTTGTCAATTTGATAAAACTAAAGGCACCAAAGAGAGAAATGCAAAGTAAGGTACCACGTTCCCAGCATTACCATTTATTCTTTTGAACATGGAAAACATTGATTCATGGTAATTATGGTCAAGAAACCAGATGCCTGGGTCCTTGTCATCTTCTTCAAATGGCACTGAAAAATTACAATTGAAATATCACATGACTAACTTAGCCAAATATGGCATCCAATCTAGAATCGTAACACCCTTCAAAACAAGGAGAGAAAAATAGCTGCAACAAGAAAAGGATGAGACTATAGCTATAGGCTGACAATAACTTCTCAAAAGAAAATCTTAAAGCATAGTATTAAAATCCAATTTGGAACATGCTAGTTCGACAAATATAACAATGATAGCTAGAATTGGGACATTGCTGAATCCCACGGAACAGTGCATTGGTATGAAAAAAATTACAACCCTCCACGCTGATTAAACACTGTTCTGAATATCTAAATTCTTAGCTAGTAAAAACCTATACGTTATAACTAATTGCCCTTAAAATAAAAATCAAATAAAAAATTTGAAGAACCCAATTAAAAATTTGACACGCAGCATACAGCAACATGAAAGCTAGTCTTCTATAAATAAACAAATGCTAGCTCAAAGAGCAGAATCAACAAACCCATTTCAAATTTTCATAGTTTGACAGCAAATAAAGCTCCCTCCAACTCTAAATTCCTTTACTCACATATCATAATAATAATAATAATAATAATAATAATAATGAAACTTAAGAGACTGAATTTAAATTTAAAATAAAAAATAAGGAGTTCAGAAGAGGACAGATCTAAGGGAGAAGCGGAAAGTTAAAAAGAAATTAAACCTGCGTAGCTGTTAGTGACATCAACAGTGCCCTTAAAACTGGAACCCAGCAAGACCCCAACAACACGTTTGCGAGTGTCCTTAGCTACTCTATTGTAGTTATCGACGATGCTGAGTAGAACTAGAGGATGCACTATCACTTTCTCGATCGGTCTCGCCGATATTTGTTGCGTTTTTATTACATCCATTCTTAGCTCAAGATTAGACGACTTAGACTCGGGCTAGGCCTTGGAGACTTCTATTCCCAGAATTCAATTTCTAAGTTCTTGCTTGTTCGCTAGGAAAGCTTTGTTTTATTTTTATTTTTTTTTCCGATTTGTTGATTTTGTTTTTAATTTATTTTCTTCTCCTCAATTCGGGGGGTTCCGTTTTACTTTTCAGTTTTAGGGTCGGGCTTACTTGACTTAACTGGCTGAGTCTAATTCAGTGAATTTGGTACTAAAAGGCCCATGATAGCCCGTTCTTAAATATTGGGCTTCCAATGGGCTTTAAGCCTGCTTGGATC